CAAAAAAAAAATGAAAAAACAAAACAAAAAAAAGTCAACGCTAGAGACCAGCGGTCAACGCCGGAATCTAGCCGGAAAAAAAAATTCAGAAAAAAAAAATTCAAAAAATTATTATTTTGAGGGTTAATGTGATATATTTGTTTAAATCCGGGGTCAATGTGTAATATTAAGAAAGTTAGAGCATAATGGATGGAATTGATAAGAATTATATTATGGAGGGTACTTTAGACAAAAGACATGGGGATGAGTTTATTTGAACGAGTGTTTTTTTTGTGGAACAATGTGCATTTAAGTCTCATGTGATTGACCTATTTGCCATTCGCCCTTTAATATTATAGTAGCATTCTTCCAAGTGCAATGCACGGGATAACATTTTAAAAGTGAAAAAAAAAAGAATTAATACGTGACAATAACAAATATAATAAAATATATATTATACCAAAATAACAAAATTTATTAGTGATATTTAAACTACAATAACAACATTAGCATTCATACAAATCTGATAATACAAACTGATCGGTATAGATTCATGGTGGATTATTTTAAAGAGCTGGGCTGGCCTGATCTTGGGCCTGGATCCGTGAATGAACCTACAAAAAAGAGGAAATATGGACTTAGGTCGGAGTTAGCACTCCGACGACGGCCAAGTCAGTAGCTTATTGAGGAAGAAATTGTATGTGAATATATTGAGTGTGTATATGGTATCATTATTGTTTTTGTTCTATTAAGTCCCCCTATTTATACTAAAAGGGACGGACCCCAAAAACTCCTCCAATCCAATTGACCTGTCCAATCGCTGTAATAAAATATTACGGATTTCAAATGACCTTCAATACCATTTGATCAGTCATTTCGTTACCGGCTGCATCTGTAAAAAGAAGGGAGACATTCCTCTGTGCCTGTCAGGAGATTAGACGTACATTAATTACCCCCACATGCAGCTAGTAGTGATTCAGCGAGTGGAGTCATACGGCTGGCGAAAGGCCTAGCGAGAGGAGCCGCACCTTCCCTGTGGCTCTTTCAGTCTCTCGTCAAAAGAGGTGCTAGCCATCTAGGCCTTCCTTCCTTAGTGGGCTTTCGGAGTCCCCTAGTTTAAATTGGACCATTTGGGCTAGAATTTTGACCTTGAACAACTCATATTATAAACATGTGTTGTTTAATTTAATGATTCTAACATATGTGCCTTATTGTGCAGGTAATTAATTAGATCAACCAAGTTTCATGTGAAGTGTTCGTTGGCTTTGTTGCGTGCACGTGGTTAATCTTATTATAGAAGACTTTTTATTAATCCAGTTTAATTTCATCTTTAATTTGGTTTAAAAACTTTTGACTGTTATGGATGTTATCTTATGTTTATGCTTATGCCAAACTATCGATGCGGGTTGTTATTTAGATTAATGTTATGGATCATTTATTTCTTCTTTTTTTTTCTTTTTGCATTTTGCAAAACTTTAATATAAGAACTATACTTTGGATAATGAAAATGTTGTTATCCATGTTGTATCGATCATAATCCATAATATATAACACATTGATATTCCATTATAAGGAAATTAATTATAATAAAAATAGAGATAATTATGAATGAGAAATAGAGAGAATCTGGCGGGAGATTCAGGAGAGAGAAACTATAATGAGAATAGTATTTGTGTTTCTTTCTAGATTGATTTGTGTAATGGTAAGGGTGAAAGTCGGATGGATCGGATTGAAATTAGCCTTTTTGGAAAATTTCCAAAAAGTTTCGGAAGTACAAAATCAATTCTAATTCCAATTTTAAAATTTTCGGAATCTAAAAATTCATTCCAATTCCAAAAGGCCCGGAAATTTCGGAATTTCGGAAAAAAATCGGAAATCAGACATAAGGTTAAAAATTTCAAAACTTAGCGAAAATTTTCTAAAATGTTCATAATTTTCTAAAAATAAGAACATCCACGTCGATAAAAGTAAAACTAATAACTACTAAATTTCAGTTCAAAAAATAAATAAAAATAAACACAACATAATATCTAATAAAACTTCTAACAACAATTCATTATGTCAAAATCCTAAAAAAAAAATTATAGGTATATTTTTCGGAAAAATAAATATTATATAATATTTATTATTTATAGGTGTGTATTTAGAAAAAAAATTGGAAATTTTCGGAATTAATTTCAGAAATCAAATCAGATCGAAAATCGGAAATTCCAATTTTATTTTATATAATTCCAATTCCAATCCAAAAAAATCGGAAAAATTCAGAAATCATAATTTCGGAAGTCAGAATGAAAAAAGTTGTTCAAAAATCGGAACTTTTCGGATCGGAACCGCCGGAAATTGGAATTTCCGTTCCAACTTACACCCCTAGTTAATGGACTTATTTGAGTTATTTCTGTCTTCTCTGTCCTTTAACATAGGCATAATTTGTCAGTCAAATGTTATATGTCCCATAGCAGCCCTAACATTTCCGGGGATCACAGAGCGATTGAAATGAACAAAGCGGCGAGGGAAAGGTTCCAGCGGACAGTGGCCGTACGTGAAAGCTTTGAAATTATGATTCTGAAAAAGACGGATAACATTTTTTAATTTATTGTTTAGTCCTTTGATTTATAAAAATTTGGAATTTTGGTCCTATTTAGTATTTGATAATATGATTGATTGGTTATAAATTACTGTTGGAAACAGTAATTTAGCAGCCAAGACAGTGATATTAATTAAAATAATTTGTTTATGAAAAAAAATAAGTCAATTAATAGTTCAATTACTGTCGAAAACAGTAATTTAGCAATCAACAGTATTAAAATATTTTTTTTAAGGGAAAAAAAAGTCAACGCCGAAGATCCAGCGGTCAACAACGGTTGACCTACAGAAAAAGAAGTTTTCAAAAAAAAAAAAAAAAGTCAATGTTGGAGAAACTTGTGGTCAAAATTGGTTAATTGGTGAAATTGACTAAATTGAGATGTAAATCATGAAATTGAAGTTGAATTGGGTTTCAAGAATTGAGGGTAACTTTGGTATATATAAAACGGTTTTCCTTATTTGCAAATAATTTTGAATGAGCTAAAAATATTTGAAAGACAAAAAGTTTGATGTCAATTTTGTAAGGGTTAAATACAAAAACACCCATGTACTATGCACTTTGTATCATTTACCGCCGTGTACTACACATAAATACAAAAACCCCCCTCACATGCATT